AATTTTAGAGGGGCATTCATTATATTTTATATATTCGGACGGGTATGCATAAAATACCTTTAACGCAGAAATTTGACGTGAGCGTTCAATAGAATCAGAATGCAAAAGTAGAGGTGGGTTATGTTGGCAGGATTTGGTCGTCAATTCCAAAACCAACTGTTGACGGACCAACCAAGAATTTGCTCATCCGAACCATGTTTGACCAACCCTACCAACCAAGGCGCCCTTGTAATGAACGAGGGTGCATGACAATGCAAGTTAACTAGGAGCCGTGATCTGATTACGTCACCGAAGCAGCGTGCCTCTCCAGTCTAGATGATACTTCCCAAACATATTAGACGACACAGGTTGACGGATCACGGCACAAACTAGAACCCGACCTAACGAGAAAGGAATCGTGTAAGAAGACTAAAAACCCTTCGTCGCTACCAAGAATCCCTGGAAGATGAGGGACTTTGATTTCTCGGTTCTACAGGGGATTCTTGATTCTTGGCTACTCTGTCGGATTCTACAAAGAATCTCTACCAGAGATTCTTGATTTCTTGGTTATTATGCTCGGTTCCACAAAGATACCCTGGAAGATGAAGGCCCATTGACTTCTTGCTTTTCTGTTCGATTCTTTTGACGAATCAAACGACCCTTATCGGATTTAAGTGGGAAGAAATGGGAGCAAAATCTAAAATCAATCGGAACAAAGAGTAAAAGAATAGCACAGAACATCGATACCTTGAAGGAGAGGGTGTGGGGAGCGAGAGAGAGGGCGTCGCCTTCGGCCTCGGAGAAGCATCGGAGGAAGGGGAAGGAGGAGTCAACGTCAACCAGGTTGTGGGCGTGGGCGTCCACCGCCGCCACCGCGTCCACCGCCGTCCTCAACTCCTTATATTTCCCCTCCATCGCCCGTCGCAAACTCTCCTCCTCGTATCGGCTCGTCGCTCTGTGTTGACTTATCGCGTTCGGAACCAGATGAGATAGACGGTCTTTCTCTTATGGGATCAAAAAGGTGAGTCCTGTCCCCGGCCCGGGGGTGGGGGGTGGGGCGGAGCACCCATCTCACGATACGATACCAAGAACGGCCGAGGACTACTTTGCCTACTGTCCCTTCGCTCTGTGTTAGATTGAAAGAATCAACGGACAGGATCACCTAGAGACACGGGAGGGTCATGTTCCGGTCCACGTTAATATTTCCCGATAACAGATAACAAAAAGAAAGTAATACAATGCACCGCCACTGCGTTGCATCTACGGGTGAACGATGCGATTGGTGGGGATAATGCGGGTCCCGGCATTACCTTCTTTCTTCTTCAATCAGTTGTAACTGCTGGTCGGTATGGAGGGAAACGGGTAGAAAAGCTTTACCGTGTGGAGTCGTCACGGGGCAACGTGCCACTGCGAGCGCGTACTATTCACGTCATCAGCGTTTCTTCCGTTATATGTGTATTAAACGCTATAACACGTCATACAGACGTGGCAATTTGAGGAGAAATCAGTTGGCGTCCCATAATAATTATTATTAATTTTTATCTTCTAAAGTGATAGCAAATCTTATTTATTTTATTTTTATTAAAATTAAATTTATTAAAGTATCCTAAAAAGATTTATTATATCAAGAAAAAGATTCATTATATTTAAAAAACACATAAAAAGCCTATAAAATGATAAATCAAATTAATTATTGATTCATACTAAATATAATTTATATAATATATCTTTGATAACTAAATATAATTAATATAATGTATCTTTAGCATCATCAAACATATAGTTTTTAAAGTTATAGAAGGTTTTGAATGAAACATAAAATATTTTATCTTATCCTACTTTTCATTTACTTAAAGCTCTACCTTCTTTTTATCTATTTCAACATTTGGTTATTAGAGCTTACGTTAAGCTATGACCGTTTCCCCAAGCATCATTTAACTTCATATCACTAGATTGATAAAAAAAAAAATTATAATATATGGTGCATCTAAATAAAAGTTCTTTTCAGGTTCCTAAAACGTATGAGAGTTTATAGAAGATGGATTTATTGAATCAAGCATAGTAAAAAGAGCAATAAATGTAGAAGTAAAAAAATAATTCAATGATAGAAGGAAGAAGGAGAAAAATACTTTAATCACAGACTATCAAAGACTTGATAATACAATGTATGAGATTATCGCTCTAACAAAGACTTCAAAAGAGGCTTGAAAATGCTTCATCTATAAGTTTTACGAGCTGAGTTTGAAGAATTACAATAAAGTACTTTTAAATTTATTTCTGATTACTTCTTAAAAGTTATTTATATTATTCATCAAATGAGATGAAATGGTGAACAAATCAATGATCAAGGAGTAACAAAAAAATTTACTAAGATCTCTAGATCCAAAGTTTGATGTTATTACTATAGCAATTGAAGAGTATGAAGATTTGGAACAAATGTCTAGAATAAATAATGAGTTCCCTTCAAGTTTATAAACAAAGGCATACAAAAAAAGAAGAAGACGAACAAAGATGAATCAAAATCTTAAAAAGGAAGAGGTCGTTGACAAAGAGGAAGATGTGGCAAAAATCAGACCAATTAAGAATCTCAAAACAATAAAGGTGATATAAAAAATTCTAACTAAATAGGCCGAGGTTATGGTTAGGGACATGGTTGAAGTCGTGGACATGATAGAAATTCTTAAAGGTCTTAAATATAATATTATATTTATGAAAGTTATAGATATTACTCATTTGAATATTATTATAATCCTAACAATCGAAGTGATAAGAAAAAATTGTTGAAAAAGAAAAAAAATAAAAATGACATGGTATTTAGATACAAGAGTTTTAGATCATATATATGGCATCAAAGAACTATTTTTTGAAATGTACACAAGTTATTCTAGCAACATTATATTTAGTGATCTATCTCAAAAAATTATACATTTTAAATATTTATTGTATTCTTGATTTAAAAAAAAATATTCTAAACTTAGAATAATTATTTAAAAAAAGGTTATAATATTGAGGTGAAAGATATGGTTATTTCAATTCATGATAAAAATAAAATATTAATCTGACATGTGGAAATGATGTCATGCAAAAGTGGCAATCCGAGGAGATATCATTTGGCATCCGATAATAATTATTCTGATAAATTTTTATCTTCTAATAGAAAATCTTATTTATTATATTTTTGTTGGACTTAAATTTATTAAGCTATCATAAAAAGGTTCATTGTATCAAGAAAAAGTTTCATTGTATCAAAAGAAGAAATATATTAAATGTCTACATAATGATAAATCAAATTAATTATTGATTCTTTAAACAGTCTGATTCATACTAAATATAATTTATATAATGTATCTTTAGGAACTAAATGTAATTAATATAATTTATCTTTGGGATAATGAAACATATAGTTTTTAAAATTGTAGAAGGCTTTGAGTAAAAAATAAAATATTTTGTCTTGTTCTACTTTTCTTTTATGTGAAAGCCCTGTCTCTTCTCCCTATATTTCAATATTTTGTATTAAAGCTTAAGTTAAGCTATGACCTCTTCCTTTGGTATCGTTAAAATATAAATCCCTATATTGATAAAAAAAAATTATAATACATGGTGTATCCAAGTGAAGGTTCTTCTAGGCTCCCAAGAAGTATAAGAGTTTATAGAAGATAGATTTATTGAACCAAGTGCAGAGCAATAAATACAAAAGCAAAAAGACAACTCAAAGATAGAAGGAAAAAGAAAAACACTTTACTCAGACTACCAAAGACTTGATAATAAATATAATGTTTGAGATCATCGCTCAGACTTCAAAAGAGGCTTGAGAAATGCTTCAAAAAACATTCAACGATGTAAATAAGGTAAAAAAGCTTCATCTATAAGTTTTATGAGCTAAGTTTGAAAAATTACAATAAGGTACTTTTGAATTTATTTCTGATTACTTCTTAAAAGTTATTTATATTATTCATCAAATGAGATGAAATGGTGAACAAATCAATGATCAAGGAGTAATAAAAAAATTTACTAAGATCTCTAGATCCAAAGTTTAATGTTATTGGTATAATGATTAAAGAGTCTAAAGATTTGGAACAAATGTCTAGAATAACTAATGAGTTCTCTTTAAGTTTATAAACAAAGTCTTACAAAAAAAAGGAGAAGAAAAATCCATAGAGCAAGCACTATGAACCAAGCTTATTCTTGAAAACAAAAATGAATCAAAATCTTAAAAGGGAAGAAGTCGTGAATAGACCAATTTAGAATATCAAAACAATAAAAGTGATAAAGAAAATTCTAGCCAAAGAGGCCGAGGTTATGGTCAGGGACGTGGCCATGGTCATGGACATGAAAGAAATTCAAAAAGGTCTTAAATATAATACTATATTTGTGAAAGGTATAGATATTACTCCTTTAAATGTTATTATAATCCTAACAATTAAAGTGATAATACAAATTTTGTTGAAAAAAAAAACAAAAATCAAGTTTATGACATGGTATATAGATATAAGAGCTTTAAATTATATATATGGTATCAAAGAACTATTTTTTGAAATGTATATAAGTTATTCTAGCAACATTACATTCAGTGATCTATCTCAAAGAATTATGTATTTTAGATATTTATTATGTTCCTGATATAAAAAATAATATTATGAACTTAGGGTAATTATTTAAAAAAGGTTAAGATATTGAGATGAAAGATATGGTTCTTTCAATTCATGATAAAAATAAAACATTAATCTGACATGTGGAAATGACGTCATGCAAAGGTGGCGATCGGAGGAGATATCAATTGGCATCCGATAATAATTATTTTGATAATTTTTATCTTTTAATGATGATAGCAAATCTTATTTATTTTATTTTTATTAGATTTAAATTTATTAAGCTATCATAAAAAGATTCATTGTATCAAGAAAAAGGTTCATTGTATCAAAAAAAGAAACACATTAAATGTCTACATAATGATAAATCAAATTGATTATTGATTCTTGAAAGAGTCTGATTCATACTAAATATAATTTATATAATGTATCTTTAGGAACTAAATATAATTAATATAATATATCTTTGGGAGAATGAAATATATAGTTTTTAAAGTTATAAAAGATTTTGAGTGAAGCATAAAATATTTTATCTTATCTCCCTTTCTTTCAACATTTTGTATTAGAGTTTAGATTAAGCTATGACCTCTTCCTCAAGTATCATTAAACTCTAAATATCTAGATTGACAAAAAAAAATTATAATACATAGTGCATCTAAGTGAAGGTTCTTCTAACCTCTCAAGATTTATGAGAGTTTGTAGAAGATGAATTTATTGAACCAAGTGCAGTATAAAGAGCAATAAATGCAAAAGCAAAAAAAAAAAACTCAAAGATAGAAGGAAGAAGGAGAAAAATACTTTATTCACAAGCTACCAAAAACTTGATAATATAATATTTGAGATTATTGCTCTAACAAAGACTTTAAAAGAGGCTTGGGAAATTCTTCAAAAAGCATTCGATGGTGTAGATAAAAAAAGCTTCATCTATAAGTTTTACGAGCTGAGTTTGAAAAATTACAATAATATACTTTTGAATCTATTTATGATTACTTCTTAAAAGTTATTTCTATTATTCATCAAACGAGATGAAATGGTGAACAAATCAATGATCAAGAAGTAATAAAAAAAATTATTAAGATATTTAGATCCAAAGTTTAATGTTATTACTATAGCGATTGAAGAGTCTGAAGATTCGAAACAAATGTCTAAAATAACTAATGAGTTCTCTTCAAGTTTATAAACAGAGGCTTACAAAAAGATGAGAAGAAAAATCTATAGAGCAAGCACCGTAAACCAAGCTTATTCTTGAGAACAAAGATGAATCAAGATCTTAAAAGGGAAGAGATCATAGATAAAGAAAAAGAGGTGGTAGAAATTAGACTAATTAAGAATCTCAAAATAATAAAGATGATAAAGAAAATTTTAGCCAAAGAGGCTGAGGTTATGGTCGAGAATATGGCCGAGATCGTGGATGTGATAGAAATTCTAAAAGGTCTAAAATACAATGCTATATTTATGAAAGGTATAGATATTACTCCTTTGAATGTTATTATAATCCTAACAATCGAAGTGATAAGAT